TAGCACATTTCGAACACAAAGGCAATTCAAAGTGAAATAATGTCAAACACAGTAAATCAAACAAAGAAATGTAGATATTAATTTCTGATTTAACAAACTGATAAAAGGCATAGTCAGAAGAGGAGCAGTTACAGTGCTGAAAGTGCGGCATAAGAAACAATGTTAGTAAACACTACTTAGACAAGGCTGAAGAATACATGAAGGTTTTTCATTTTGATTTAAAAAGTTACTAGAGTTGGGGCACATTTGAGGTCACGAGGAAGCTGATCCTATCTGTGTGCAGCATAGTGACTAAAAGCAGCTTCACCCTGTTTGGTTCTGACCTGAGGTACCACCAGCTGACTGTTTCACAAGGATCTGAGAGCCCTGCTGGGTGTATATACTGGAAGGAGATCCAAGATGTACTTTGGCCCCATGCCATTGAGAGATTTATAGACTAGTAGAAGCACTCTGAAGTCAATTCTATGGTAACCAATGAAGAGATTTAAGAACAAGGGTGATGTGCTTGGTTCTTTTGGTTCTTGTTAAAGGCTGATTCAGGCTTCTCCGTCTGCGTCAGTGCGGAGACTCGCAACGCCATCATCACTGGAGGAGTGAAAAGATACGCAGCAAGCATTTTATTTGTGGACGGAAATGACACGAAACGTGGGTTTGGAGGAGGTGAGCGCATGAAGAGGTGGAGGAGAATGAGAGACAAATTTGTCCGTGTTAAAAAGTCTCATATACAAAAAACACAATATAAACACACTGTCTTGGACCGGATACATGACAGGATACCACAGAACAGTGCTACGCCCTCTGTTGTCCTGCCGGGGAATTGCTTTACATCACTCCCCAGGAAACGGAGAAGTATGAGAGCAAAATGCTTCCGTTAATCCGATCGTGTCTGTCCCTTGCGGAGCTGACGGAGAAGCATGAATCAGGCTTCCGACTCTAGCAGCAGCATTCTGAATAAGCTGCATTTGTTTTACAGCTGTTTTTGGGAAGACCAGTTAGAAGACCATTGCAATAATCCAGCCTGCTGGAGATGAAACCACAAATTAGTTCCTCTAGGTCTTGTTTTGACATGAGACCTCTGAGTCTTGCTGACTGATGGAGATGATAAAACACTTAACTATAGCTTTATTGTGACCAGTGAAGCTCACGTCTGAATCAGTGATAACACCAAGATATCTAGCCTGAGTCTTCGTCTTTATTCCTTTGGAGCTAAGTTGAGAAATAGCTTTCGTCCCATCCTTCTTGTTTCCAAAGACAATAACTTCAGTCTTGTCTTTGTTTAACTGAAGGAAACTCGACTGCATCCGGTCATTAACTTGCTCTAGGCACTGACAGAGTGAGTCTAGATTCATTAGACCTATTAATCAATTCCTTTTTCAATATAATTTGTAACTTTCACTAATGCAGTTTCAGGGCTGTATTACTCTCTAAACTTCCACTGTTATGCTGACGATACTCAGTTAAATCAGACATTGTTGTCTCAGATAATGGACCGCAGTATACGTCCGGTGAGTTTCTGAGATTTAGTCGACTGTGGGATTTTCAGCACAAAACATCTTCGCCAGGTTACCCTCAGAGTAATGGGAAGGCCAAATCAGCGGTGAAGACAGCAAAAAGGCTGCTGCTAAAGGCAAAACTGGCGGGGCAGGACCAGTATCTGGCGATTCTGGACCATCGCAACACACCATCACAAGGCCTGGAGACCAGCCCAGCTCAGAGGCTGCTCAGCAGGGGAACACGGACGCTTTTGCCAACTAGGACGACCCTGCTAAGGCCAAAAGTCATTCCTGCCCAGCGGGAGTTGCAAATGAAACAGAAGCGCCAAAAAGAGTGCTATGATCGGTCAGCACGTGACATGGGCTCTTTGACGCTTGGCGACAGTGTCAGAGTTCAGCCTTTGGACCGCCACTCCACTTGGAGCAGGGGAGTGGTTGTTGGGACTGTTGACCCGAGGTCCTATGAGGTTCAGTTGGATTCTGGGAGTGTCCTGAGGAGGAATCGGAGGCACCTGAGACATGCAGGCGTGATGGATCCAGACAATGCCATGACAGACACTGGGGCACTGAGCAGCTCAGTGACGGATCCGTCGGAAAGTCGTGAGCAGCGGATCGAGTCTGACGTGGTAACAGGGGGTATCAGGACACGGTCAGGCCGCAAAGTGGTTCCACCACTTCGGTACAAGGACTATGTTCCATAATTAGGACTTGACAGTCTTTATTGGTTGAGGGGAGAAGTTATGTGTTCTATGGACACACACATGTCCACTACCGTTGCAGACATGTATATGTTCGAATAGTGGAATGTTTTTGTGTTCTGTTAGTGTTTCATATTGTTTCTCCCTTAGTAAGAAGAAGGACAAATCAAAAAGAAAAAAAAGAGAAGGGATGTAATGATGTGCATTGTTGTTTGGCTTGGTTGGTTCCGCAGTGTGTTGTGTTGCTGCATGGGCGTTTTTTAGAGGACACACCGGTATGGGGTGTCAGCGGAGACTGTATGTTGGTGTAGTCTTGTTAATAAACCTTACTACCCCGTTGGGTGGGAAATAGATATTCTGGAGTTTGTCGTGAATGAGACCAGAATATAACATGAGTGTTGATGTTTTTATTGTTTATGACCTGGCCCAGTGGGAGCATGTAGAAATTGAAAAGCAGTTGTCCAAGAATCGAGCCTTGGGGGACACCACATGTCAGGGCGATTTGTGTTCACCAATGGAAACAACAAAATGTTTTTTGGGAAAGCATTCTTATTTAAAAAAAGTTTTTTAACAAATAGGAAAAGCTCAGTGGGCTCTGCTGGGTGGATGTACTGCTTTAAAATGCAACATAGCCTTGTCCCTCTCCAATGCTGTGAAAGTCCCAGGTTTTCAGTGGCCTCTGATAATCACATTTACCAACACTGTTTCCCTCTACTTGAAACTTTGCTTTTTTTTCTGATGACACCTCTTTCACTGTGACTGCTGGACATTGGCAATATTTGCTTTTTCATTTTGCGCAAGGCCAAACAAAATGAAAGTTTTGTCTTGTATAAAATATTGTCATAACATGACATTTGTTTTATGTCACTAGCATGTGTGGAATATTTCTCTCAAGGTTTATGGAAGGCTTGAAGACTCTTGGATTGCTCGATGAGCTCCAGAATTACCCTGATGTATTTAGTGACACGTTTGCATGTCAAGAAAAGCCACTCACAGCCAGGGGCAGTCCTTCCACAGTGGAGTTCTCCAGACAGGGCAGCAGTCGACAAGCTCTGGAGAACCAAACGTGCTTCTGGAAAGACTGGCTGATTGATGTGGAAGGTTTGTCTTATCCCTTCTTAAATGTAGTATTCTCTTAGTCAGGGGTGGGGAATCGTGGTCCTAAAGGGATGCTATCCAGCATGTTTTGGTTGTTTCTTTGCTCCAACACACCTGATTCAGTGTTTGAATCACCTGTTCAGCAGCTCATCAAGTTATGCAAATAATCACCTGCTGATTAAAACTAGGTGTGTTTGAGCAGGGAAATCTTTAAAACCTGTTGGATAGCAGCTCTTGGTAAATGGCCTGTATTTGATATAGCACCTTCTAGAGTTCTTGAAACCCCCCAAGGCGCTTTACAACACAATCAGTCATTCACCTATTCACACACACATTCACATACTGGTGGGGATGAGCTACAATGTAGCCACAGCTGCCCTGGGGCGCACTGACAGAGGCGAGGCTGCCGAGCACTGGCGCCACCAGTCCCTCCGACCACCACCAGCAGGCAACGTGGGTTAAGTGTCTTGCCCAAGGACACGAGAGCGACAGACTGAGCGGGGCTCGAACCTGCAACCTTCCGATTACGGGGCGAGCACTTAACTCCTGTGCCACTGTCCTCTTGGGGTCCAATATTCTAAACCCCAGCTCTGAAGTAACATTAAATATGTATCTGTTGTATATAATCTATTTTGTGTCAAACAGAAGGAGATGGTGGTCCCATCACCCTTAAAGCTATCTTGGAGTTTGCATCTGGAGCATTAGATGCCCCTCCACTTGGATTTCCACACCAGCCACTAATCTGTTTCCTTCATGAGCACAGCAAAATCTTTCTAGAAGCAAATACTTGTCTGCTTATTCTCTCTGCCCATGCACCCTTCCTATGATATGTTTTAAAAAAACATGACAGAAGGGATTTCGCAAGCTCCAACCTTTGGAGTTGCATAAGTTATGTGACATTCAAGATTTCAAACCAGAAAAATGTCACATTTAGTTGCATTGATCATTACTGGTTTTATCCCAAAACATTTTCTAGAAACTTAGATTGTTTTCTGACATTTCTCATTCAGATTTTCATCCTTTGAGATTTTTTTTTTATTAAAAAGTAAAGTTGGTTCTAAGAAATGTGACCTAATCAAATATTCAGTGTGTTCAAGCATTTTCATTCAGTAAAGCATTTAAAGACGTTTAAAAAAAATGATGCTGTGGGTAATAATTTAAACACCACATTTATCCTGTTACTAAGTTTATTGATTAATAACTTTTCATTAATTAGTTGAATGAACTGTTTCTGACCATGTTATTTCATCTCCTTTTTAACTCAGAGTAAATAATGCACTGACCATAAAACATGTAGCAGGTTGAATCTTCCAATTGTGTTACAGCAAAGAGAAAAATACTATATAAAGAAAATGGAAAAATTATGTATTCGAACTGTTTTTAGTTAATTCATAAAAAAAATCATATTCTATTGAGGGAATTTTTAAATTGTATAATTAATTTAAATAGTAAAACTATTAATCCAAATAATTTTTGTTTCTTAAATGGCGTAGAAATGCTCAGCATTCATCAGTGTGAACTGTTCCTTTATCAATAGAACATATTTGATTTCTTATTCAGAGTGGCATGTCTAAATGCAGATATATGTGGATTTTCTAGGAGTTTAAAAATAAAAATACTTTTGTGAATTTAAAATGTGTTCATTTCTCTGTAATTTCATCAGTTTTGGCATAAAAACAGTAGCTGGCGAACAAAAACTAAAGAAAACAAATACAAAGAAGGGGCGTTTATTATTAGATACATTTAATTACATAAACGACGTAATTTTTACTGACAGTTTTTACTGAATGTTGCAGGTTTTGGTTGCGTGGAACAGATCACCAAACCCTCGCATGTCTTTTAGGCCTCTCCTGTTTTCGGTTTGGTTCTAGAATAAATGTATCTGAGCAGATAAACACCCAGACAACACAAGCACTGCCTCACACAAGCCACAGTTTCCCTTCAGCCCCAGTTGACTAGGTCTTCATCTGTCATGGTGAGGATGTCCGTGACCAGGCCAGTGCCGATGGTTTTGTTTCCGTCTCTCAGAGTGAACCTCTGGCCTTTCTCCAGAACCATCGGCTGGCGGAGCGTGAGCGACAACGACGTGTCCTCACCGGGCATCACCATTTCCTTAAAGAGAACACAAACACCACCGATGCCAGTCCAGTTGTAGGAATAACGCACACGAGAGTGATGGGAGATGCAAATGTACACCAGAATTACACACACACCTTATCTGCAGGTAGAGTGACGCTGCAGGCCATGTCCCAGGTGAGAGAGAACATGACGGGCATGAATTTGGTAACAAAGGGTTTGTGTCGACCTCCTTCCTCCTTACTGAGAATATAAACCTGCAGAACATCCAGAGTTTCATTTAACTGATTAAATGTGTGATAAATCAAGAATAATACAACAGCAAATACATTCACTTGGTTTTTTTATAAGGCAAAAAGCTAAATGTATGTAGGATACCATTAAAACAACAGTTAAAACACATAATACCTCTGAGAACCCTTGTAATGCAGGACACTATCAAAAGTTTTGAGTCATAAATGATGTGAAACTATGAGGGTAGCTTTGTGCTGTCAGACCTGAGCCTGGACTTTCTGGTGAGGCATGATGGATCCAGGTTTACACATCACCATCCCTCTCCTCACATCTTCCCTCTTCAGGCCTCGGACCAGAGCTCCCAGGTTATCCCCCGCCTCTGCCCGGTCCAGAGACTTGTGGAACATCTCTACGCCTGAAAACAAAGATTAAATAAACTAAACATTCCAGAAGGGTTTTCTATTATGTCACAGTTTTAAACCAATGGTACTTTTCTACCATTACATTGATTTTAAATATTGATTCAGTATCCAAACGTGATATTTCAGTGTATTGGTATTTACTTAAATCCCTCGAGGACATAGCAGCAAATGCGATGTTTAAGAAGAAGAAGAAAGTATAATTTCTATAGCGCCTCTCAAGATAAAAATCATGAGGCGCTTCACAAAAACAAAAAATGTAAAAATATAAAAAAAGCATTAAGAAAATGTTGAAAATATATTTAAAATGAGCAAAAATAGACAAGTGTGATTAAAAAAATGTTAAGAAAGAGAGAGGGAGTGAATAGGAAAGAGAAATAAGTGGATCCTGAGGAAGGTGGAATAGGTGGGGAGAGCAGAATAAAGAGAGTGGTGTAACGTGAGGAAGTGTGGGTTTTCTGTCACAAAGGTGGTGTTGGACTCAGCTGGGTCAAAGCTGGGTCGCTGAGAACTTTCACCCACAGATTAAGACCTGAACGCCAGCGAGTCTGGGAGGAAACCATAACATCTGCCACCTGCAGCTTCGTGCCAGAAGATGTTGTCCCCACAGAAGATGTTGTTCCCATAAATGTAGTCATAACAAGTCTTAAAACTTTCTTTTCTTGATTTTAATGTTAAAGAATAATTATTATCATTTTGCTCAATATAAATGTGTTTTAATCAAATGAATGATTCTTATGCTTTGGGTAATTATAATGGATTAATGAATCCATACTTAAATAATGTTTGAGGATGTTTGTTATCGACCTTCACACACACACTCAAACACACCCACACACAGATTCTCACAGTAAACTCCAAAACACATTTGCTGACGCACACGTTTGCTTTGAGAAGAGAAAGGTTTTTGGTAAGTTTCAGTCTTATGATTCAGTTCGTGCTTGACAACGAAAGAGAGAGGACCTGAAGAAACCGAAGGGGGGAGCCGGTTGGCTCGTTTCTTCCCCCCCCCTCTCACGCTGTTCCTGCCAAGCCAGACAGAATAGCTGAATCGCAACTTCTAACGCAGACTCATACAGAGTCTTTGATTTCTGAGTGAATTAACTTAAGAAAGCGCATCGACAAAACGCTTTACCATCAACGTGTACCGAGGGCAACTCTGGACCGGTTCGCGGCGCATCTTTGTCTTCTTTGCCAGCCAAGGTGTCCTGGATGAAACATCATCCTAAGGTGACGTCCCGGGTCCAACAGGGGGTCCGATTTTCGGTGAGGCAGAACACGACAGATAGCGTTTTGATGCATCTTTTCCAACTAAACCTAAGTTTATTCAAACCATCACTTTTCACTCAGACACCTGTTTCTTCCTGAAGCAAAATCAGACGCACACACGCACTCAGCTCACCTCACCACATCACTCTCAATCTTCATTCACCAACAGAAGGTCTATTTGAGCAAGAACAGCATATCAACTGTTAAAGATTGTCCCACAAAGTTGCCAATGTTGATTGTTATTTCCTGTTTGTCAATTTCAAAATCATTAGTTTATTTGAAGAATTAAAACTTTTAATTGTAAACTTGTTTCTTCATTGAACTGAAACACAGACACACAGATATTATCGTCAGTTTATCGATGAAAACAACCTTTGAGTCTTCTTAAAACTATACAATTTGGTTATTAATTTAATAAAATTAATATCACAAATTATCATGTTGAATGGTTCCTCTTTCATAAAAGAGCATAAACCACAACGCTACAGTGGTGAAGAAGGTCACACAAAGCCAGCTTGAACAAGTGAGTCTTCAGCTGCTTTTTAAAGGAGACCACTGAGTCCACTGATCTCAGGCTCAGGGGGAGAGAGTTCCAGAGTCTGGGGGCCACAGCAGCAGATGATCTGTCACCTTTGGTCTTTAGCCTGGTGCGCTACACAACCAGTAGGCTTTGATCACTGGACCTCAGGGACCTGCTGGTGGTGTAGGGACTAAGACGATCACCAATGTAAAATGGTGCTTGTCCATGTAAGACCCTATAGACCAGAACCAGGATCTTGAAATGAACCCTGAAGTTGACTGGCAGCCAGTGAAGCTGGAGGAGAAGCGGGGTGATGTGGGTGTGTTTGGAGGACTTGGTCAGAAGCCGAGCACAGGCATTCTGAACCACCTGTAGACGGTTAAGGGAGGTTCTGCTCAGACACGTGAAAAGAGAGTTACAGTAGTCTAAGCGTGAGGAGATGAAGGTGTGGAGAACTGTCTCAAGTTCAGAGCAGGACAGGATGGGACTCAGCTTAGCAATGTTCCTGAGATGGAAGAAGGAAGAGCGAACAAGAGAACTGACATGAGAATCCAGGGTGAGAGCTGGGTCAAAGGTCACGCCAAGATTCCTGACAGAAGGTTTGGTGTGAGAAGCAAGCTGACCAAGAGAGTCTCTGACTTTGGGAACCAGCTTGTCTGGGGCACAGATGAGGATCTCAGTCTTATCTTCATTCAGCTGAAGAAAGCTCCCAGCCATCCAGGTTTTGATAGAGTCTAAGCCAGGGATTCCCAAAGTGTGGTGCGCGCACCGAGGTGAAAAGTGTAATGGCTGCGGAGCTCAGAGAAGTCTGTCATATGTCACCATTAGTGTAGCCAGAAACTCATTTGTGGGTGGGCCTAAGAAAAAGTACGTGGGCACAATAAATGTAATTGAAAACAAGTATATATTTGCGCGTGCGTGTCCTCCACATGTGCCCTAGCTTCATAATAACAATGTGCCGAGCTTCAGCACTCTGGCCTGCGCACGCCGATGTGTTCCATATTTGATCATTTTTAACTGTGTTGGAGAAATCTGAAGGTGGTGAGTCATTCTGGCAGATTGTAATTAACACCTGTCTCATGCAGGTGTTCTGACATTGTAAACCTCACACACAGAACATTGTGGATGCAACTAAATAAATCAAGAAAGGATTCCCATTCAGGCTATAACAGCGCGCTGAAGATCTGAAGTTCAGAGTGCGTCTGTCAGAGGTCAGACGCGTTCCAGCGGAACCATGGCTCACGGGTGCACAAGTGAGCACATCTGGGCTGGGCAGAAGTAATTTTACAACATTGGTTTAAATAGCGCCAATAACGAGACGCGGTGACTGGAGCGGCTCATGGAGCTGTGCCGCACACACAAACACACACACACACACACAAACACACAAACACACACACAGATTCAATAAGCGCGCACGCTGCGCAAACTCCGGCGCGCCGTCAGACTGAAAGCAGAAATGAGCGCTGCCTCCTCTGTGATAAAAACTTTTAAGAGGTTTTATAACATTTTTCATTCCAGGTCAAATTAAGATATTAGCTTCTATTTTGGGATGACGTATTAAAGTCGGGTCCGCTCCAGCCAGTGACTCCTCATGAACCTGACCACAACTCATGTTACTGCAGCATTTGTTATTCCAGTCCGCGTGGCAGCGGATCGCAGATTCAGCCACACCATAAAACAGCAATATGTCGGTCTGAGGCAAAAGTGAACCTCATGGCTATATCCTTTCCATCTTTTCCCCTATAGACATTTGATTACGCACAAGTAGGAGATCAGTTCAGGTTTACGCAGAGCAGAAGGAAGGAGAGAGCTCTGGCCGCACAGGTTAAACGTTCCTACTTTAAGAAAACCGTTAAATTGCATTGTTGATGTGCTACCTGGGCACTCTAAATATTTATTTAAAATTAAATGAAAGAAAATTGTAATGGTATCAAATGTGTATTAATTACTATTTAAAAAATGAAAGTGATGGGGAAAAAGGTCGATCATATTTTTTTTAACCCTGTCTGTTTAGCTTGAAGTCTGAGATTATATATATATATATATATATATATATATATATATATATATATATACAGTTGTGGTCAGAAGTTTACATACACTTGTAAAAAATATAATATAATGGCTCTACTGAGTGTCCCGTTATTTCTATAACTCTGATTTTTCTCTGATAGAGTGATTGGAACAGATACTTCTTTGTCACGAAAAACATTCATGAAGTTTGGTTCTTTAATGTCTTTATTATGGGTTAACAGAGAAAAGTGATCACATTTGCTGGGTCACAAATATACATACAGCAACATGAACTAGCAATTTTGGTGACTTAGAAACGTGTCAGTGAACTGAGCTTCATAGCATGGCCTCTTAACTTCTTGTGAGTGACTATGAGTGACTACAGCTGGTGACTTCTCTTAGGCCAGGTAAATAGGGCTCATTGGATACAAACGCCCACAAACGCTACAATGGGAAAGTCAAAGGAGCTCAGCATGGATCTGAAAAAGCAAATTATTGACTTGAACAAGTCAGGAAAGTCACTTGGGGCCATTTCAAAGCAGCTGCAGGTCCCAAGAGCAACAGTGCAAACAATTGTTTGTAAGTATAAGGTGCATGGCACTGTTTCATCACTGCCAAGATCAGCAAGAAAACGCAAGCTATCACCTGCTGCTGAGAGAAAATTGGTCAGGCGGGTAAAGAGTGAACCAAGAATCACAAAAAGCAGATCTGCCAAGAATTAGAAGCTGCTGGAACACAGGTGTCATTGTCCACAGTCAAACGTGTTTTGCATCTCCATGGACTGAGAGGCTGCCGTGCAAGAAGAAAGCCCTTGCTCCAAAAGCGGCACCTTAAGGCTCAACTGAAGTTTGCTGCTGATCACATGGACAAAGATAAGACCTTCTGGAGGAAAGTTCTGTGGTCAGACGAAACAAAAATCGAGCTTTTTGGCCACAATGCCCAGCAATATGTTTGGAGGAGAAAAGGTGAGGCCTTTAACCCCAAGAACACCATGCCTACAGTCAAGCATGGTGGTGGGAATATTATGCTGTGGGGCTGTTTTGCTGCCAATGGAACTGGTGCTTTACAGAGAGTAAATGGGATAATGAAGAAGGAGGATTACCTTCACATTCTTCAACATAACCTAAAATCATCAGCACGAAGGTTGGGTCTTGGGCGCAGTTGGGTGTTCCAACAGGACAATGACCCCAAACACACATCAAAAGTGGTAAAGGAATGGCTAAATCAGGCTAGAATAAGGGTTTTAGAATGGCCTTCCCAAAGTCCTGACTTAAACCCCAACATGTGGACAGTGCTGAAGAAACAAGTCCATGTCAGAAAGCCATCAAATTTAACTGAACTTCACCAATTCTGTCAAGAGGAGTGGTCAAAGATTCAACCAGAAGCTTGCCAGAAGCTTGTGGATGGCTACCAAAAGCGCCTAATTGAAGTGAAAATGGCTAAGGGACATGTAACCAAATATTAGCACTGCTGTATGTATATTTGTGACCCAGCAAATGTGGTCACTTTTCTCTGTTAACCCATAATAAAGACATTAAAGAACCAAACTTCATGAATGTTTTTGTGACAAAGAAGTATCTGTTCCAATCACTCTATCAGAGAAAAATCAGAGTTTTAGAAATAACGGGACACTCAGTAGAGCCATTATATTATATTTTTTACAAGTGTATGTAAACTTCTGACCACAACTGTATATATGGATCTATTGGCCCTTTCCCACCAGTAGCTGCTCTGCTCGGGGGGACCGTGCGTTCTCTGTGTTGGCACCTGCACTTTGGAACCAGTTGCCTTTGGTGGTGCGTCAGTCACCCTCATTGGGGGTTTCTAAGACTCGCCTTAAGACCCATTCTTTTGTCAAGGCATTTCAGGATTTGCAAATTTTACCCGGTTTCGATGCCCCGGCCTCTTAAATCTTCTTCAGGATTTTATTTTTTGCTTTTACTCTCCTCTTTTAATTGATTTTATGTTGATTTTACGATTGTTATATTTTATTTCTGCTGGTTTTATGTTTTTATTGTGTTGTGTTCAGCACCTTGGGCGTCTGCATTGGTCGCAGAAGGGGCTTTATAAATAAATGAAATGAAAATTGAAATGAACACCAGTGATGTTCTGCTGCTAAATGCATAAGTGCGTAATGAGTGGAGGACCCAGGTAAATGCAGAAGTGTGCTGGTCCAGTGAGACAACCAGCCACTCACCTGTAACCACAGATTTGAAGTGGCGATTGAAACCCACAAATTCACAGTCATCTCCTTTCTTTATGACACCCCTCTCCAGAGTGCCGCTCACGACTGTCCCTCTGCCTTCAAGACAAAAACAAAAGGTATGCTGCTAATGAAACCTGAGAGGTCAGAAGCTTGAGAAGCTCTTTCTGAGTTTTCTCCTACCTGGGATTGAAAAAACACCCTCGATGGGGAGAAGGAAGGGTTTTTCCAGCTCTCGTTTTGGTAGAGGAACGTATGAATCCACCATCTCCAGCAGCTTCATGACAGCATTCATGCCCAGTTCAGGATCTCTGCCCTGAAACGTCACACAGAAATCCTCACAACTGACTTATAAAGGCTTTGTTTCAGGAAGATTTTTATGAATTTTAAATGCATTTGGCCGGGAAATTTCGAGCATCATGAGGACTTCTACCTCCAAGGCACAGAGGGCGGAGCCTATCACCACAGGTGTGTTCTCGCCGTCGTAACCAAACTCTGTGAGCAGCTCGCGAATCTCAATCTCCACCAGATCCAGCATCTCTTTGTCGTCCACGGCATCCGCCTTGTTGATGAAAACCACCATGTGCTCGACACCGATCTGCCTGGCCAGCAGGAGGTGCTCACGCGTCTGCGGCATCTGGCCATCAGTGGCCGCCACCACCAGGATGCAGCCGTCCATCTGGGCCGTCCCTGTGATCATGTTCTAAAGAGGGACAGAAGAACATGTCTCAGCAACATCACCCAGGCTGCATCACCTTCAGATATAGAGAAGTAAATTACCTTGACGTAGTCGGCATGGCCGGGGCAGTCAGTGTGGGCATAATGTCTGTTAGCTGTGGTGTACTCAACGTGAGACGCATTGATAGTAATTCCTCGAGCCTTTTCCTCTGGGGCATTGTCAATTTCCTCATATTTTTTGTAGTGAGCACCCCCAGCATCAGCAAGCACTGGGAAAAGTAGAGAAAGACCCAGACTGGGTTAGTAAAAGTAGTCTATTTTACCCGATGGAAGCACAGACCTGAACTCTACCTTTTGTGATGGCTGCAGTCAGCGTGGTCTTTCCATGATCCACATGGCCAATCGTTCCGATGTTCACGTGAGGTTTCTCTCTGCTGTAGGTCTTCTTCGCCTCAACAGCAAACGTTCGCCGACTCAAAGGCACAGCACACTACAAACCAAAGAGAATCCAACACCTAAAAACTCTGAAATCCAAACATCGAACATGTTAGGGAGAGCAGCGTATGGATACAGACCAGTCTGAATGAGCTGTGCAGGAGGCTTGGCGAAGAAAGCTGAAAGGCTGCGAAGAAATGATGACGTGATTAAAATGGCAACAATCATTCAGGAAATATTTTAGAAGAACATCTCTAGCTTTTATTTTGACACAGCTGTTTCACTCTTGTAATAAACATACAACCAGGTTGGAGACACTTTTTTAACCTAATGAGCCCTACACACCTTTACTGTCAGACACTAATAAATAATAATCTGCTGATTAGAATCAGGTGCACTGGAACAGAGAAACCTCTACTACATGTTGGCCCCTGATGACCAGTACTGGACATCTTTTTTTTTTCAATTTACACAATAGCATGTCTTCATGTTTGTTCCTACGTGATAAACTTCCTAAACATGTACATAAAGCTATTTTAACCTTCTCTATCAGGCTCGTCTATGCTCATTTCAACTATAATAACGTTTCTGCCTGCAGCAGCTAACATTTAACTCAGGCTAATGGGAACAACTACATGTGATAACTATAGCAAGGTGTTTTTCCCGGCACAATGTAGAGATTAGTTTAGTATAATGTTGATTATCAGGATATAATCAGGGTTAACCATAAAGTCGTCTTTTGTCAAGTCTTCATCCGCATTAGCTGTCGTTAGCTAAACCTCACTGGTAACGTGACCTTGCTCTGCTATCAGACGCGAGAGCATCATCTCCATTGTTCCATTTCTTCAAGCCTTAATAGCTTAATATACAATTCACAAATGAATGATGATACTGAGGCTCCATGAGCGCGCACAGAGGCATAAATAATCACTTAGAAGCAAGACATGAAGTGTTTTACCAGAGAAACATGCACGCAGTCCCACAAGCGCCGCCATCTTGGATGATAAGACAAACCAAGATGATAAAAGTATCAAGAGAGTTCCCTGACTAGCACAAAAAAATTGTCGTCAGCCCCTAATCACATAAATAATAATTATTGTATATTTGTTTTTAAAATAATACTTGTTATTTACGAATATACATTACATGACAGTAATCAGTGAATGAAAAATATTGGAACATATTACAAATACGCTTGTTGGATTAGTTTTCATTTGGTATGCAGAAAATGTTTAAATGTTATAATTTTACAACATGTTTAATATAAAACAAGTGCTTTGGACGTTTTATCTATTTATTCATTCATTTTAGAAATTCATGTAAGAATGAAAACTACTTTTCTTCTCTTGAAAGCTAGGAAATTCCTTTTTAATTATGACTGATACTCTTTGTCAGAAACGTAGCAAGGCGTTGCTATTTTACCGTAATCACTTTAATAGAATGAAGCTTTCGAAAATAAAAAAATCTCCATTTCATCTTTTGAGTTGAACTGTTGCATGAATATAAAACTCTAATAATCTGAGTTAAATGTTGAAATTTATGTAAAGATGAGACCACTAAAATAACTGAAGAGAATTTTAAACACATTTCTACTGCTCGTTGCGTACATGTTTTATGATTAAGATGGCGGTTGACTCATGTTGCTCGAGAGATCAACTACTAGCCAGAATGTTCTAGCCCTTTCGTGGTTAATAGTTATAATCGGCTGTGGGCTCTCAGAGAAACATTGTAGGTTTAAATACTCTCACGGAATCTGAGGACACTTCAACAGTAAGTAATTTTATTCAGAAAAATATCCGTTTTGAGTCTGTAGACAGTTGTACTCAGATAATGCGTGTAGTCCACCATCCCTACACAGTTTAAAGCTACAGTCTCATGGAATAGCCTGATAATTTTAATATAAAGAGCTCAACAGTAATGGGGTTGAGCTGCTTCTGGGTTACTGCTTACTAGTTATACAGGGAATGTCTAATATTAACGTCACAGCTTGTATAATCTTGTCTTTCTGACATTTCTTTTATGTGTCCAGTTGTTTAGGTCATGTCAGATAACAGACAGAACAGGAGGTACCCCCAGAGCCTTCAGGGGGTTCTGCAACTGGCAGTAGATGCTGGATCAGCTGCAGAGGGTCCTGCTCCTTTAGAGCCCATGTCAGAGGAGGTAAGAGCCTGTGGATTAGGGCACCTCAATCCTGGTCCGCAAGGGTCCATATACAGCAGGTGTTGGCTATTTTTCAGCTCCAACACACCTGATCCATTGATTGAATCCCCTGTTCATCATATCTTCAAGTTCATCAGAAGCCATTTTATTCAAACGGGTGTGTTGTTGGAGAGATGCAGTTAAGTGGTCCTCGAGGACCAGGATTGAACAGCACTGTCATAGGGCCATTAGGTTTTATTCTGGTGTCCTTAAGTGGGTGTGTTTATAAACACAATCGTACTGAATGTAGCTTTTGACACAAAAAATTGAGTTGGAACAAGTTAACCCACCTGTCTTTGTTACAGAGAAAAACCTGGCTGAGAGAAGCTCTTTCAGAGATGTGCAAAGGCCAGCTGGATGAAGTGGAGCAGGTTAAACAGTGCTTGGTTGTCCTACACAGAGAGGAGCCAGATGAAAAGGAGCGAGATGAAGAAGATGATGACGATGAGCGGGAAGCAGCCTTTGAGATGTTGTCTGAGTTGTGTGAGAATTTGGACAATGCTAGAGGTTTGTTATGAGGAGTTGATTAATAGTGCTCAGATCTGAACAATATTCATGCTGATTTATTTCCAAGGATCTCTTTTTTTCTGCACTTCACAGACCTGATGGTTCTCGGAGGACTGGACTTGTGCGTCTCCAGGTATCTGTCTCATGTCCAGAGTGGGCTGAGGTGGCGGGCTGCCCAGCTCATTGCTTCCTGTGCTCAGAACATGCCGCAGGTGCAGGACCACTTACTTAAGATTGAAGTTCTGCCCAAGCTGCTCCAGTTGACAGATGCAGACCCAAACCCCACCGTCAGAGTAAAAGCTCTTTATGCTGTCTCCTGTGAGTTTAGAGACACAACTTCAAGAATAAATCTTCACTGATGCTCGGTGTGTTTGCTTTTTCCTCAGATCACACAGAACTAACATTTTCTGTGTTTCTCTGTAGGTCTGGTACGAGAGCAGGAGGCTGGTCTCCAGGAGTTTGCAGCTCATGATGGCTTCTCAGTTTTGATGAGAGGCATGCAGTCAGAAAACGAGAAGCTCAGGACCAAGTCTGCTTTCCTTCTGCTAAGCCTGTTGACCTCACATCCCGAACATAAAGGTATGAAGGCAAGAGAAGAAAATAATTTGTTCAGAACCACGCCATTTGTGAGCATCATGATTAATTACTGCGATCCGTGATATAAGAATGACATAAATGAGCTAAATCAACACCTGGTAAAAAGAAGAAACTGAGGTGCACTTGTTGTTAGAGGGAGTGTTTGTTTTCATAGAGCAGGACTTAAAATCTATACAGGAACCAGCCACTAGGGGGCTGTCATCCCATTTTTAGCTTATTTTCCATGGTTCTGTTCTTATGTCATATGTTTGTAATATTGAGACCCCTCTTTATGACGATTTAAAGTAAAAAATATATGTTCTGAGTATATTTTAAACAGTAAATGATCTTGTTCCAGATGTTTCTTTCTCTATTTCCATTTTTGTGTGTTCCACCTGGGATTTTCTGAATCATGTTTGGTCTTTTACCAGAAACGGTTGTGTGTATGGGGATGGTGCAGCAGCTGGTGTCTGTTCTCCGCTCACCACACTCATCCTTTCATGAACATGTGCTGGGAGCTCTTTGCTGGTGAGAACCCTCTTCAGCAGCAGCTGTAGTGTTCTATCGTGGTTCTTGTTTTAATGTCCAACCTTGTTTTTGTGTCTAGTTTGGTGCAAGATTTTCCACAAGGCCTCAAAGAGTGCAGAAATCCCACTCTGGCTCTAGAGGAATTACTCAAGCAGCGTGCCGAAGAACTCCAGGGAAAAGAAGAGAGTCAGGTAAATCAAGTGTTTTTTACCTGGGTTAAAGGTGGTAAAAAATATTTGAATACTGTCATTTAGACCAAAGCAGGATGTAGTCTTTTACATACTAAAATATAATAACGACGGAAATTGTTTCATTTGCTGCACTCTGATGTCACACTTTTCTTCTCAACAGGAAGCACTCGATTTCTGCGATCAGCTGAGAGTTTTGTGTTTCAGCGGGCAGCAATCGGACGATAATGGGATGGATCGCTAAAACAAATGTTATTTTTTTATTTTCACTCATGTTAGCATCAGAACAAAAAAGGTATCAGATCATTCATGAGCCAAATCATGAAAAAGGAGCAACATGTTTGTCTGTTTTGGGACTATTTTCTGTTTATTTTTTGCATGTAATCCAGGAGCTGCATTACACTGTAAATACTGTATAAAGTTACATTTCAAGACTTCCATGTTTGCTCTTTTAAAAGTTTCTTGTAAAAAGAAACATATTCTACATTAACCAGTATGGAGTTTGTACTTTTATTTTCCTGTTAACAGACATCCAGATGTTTGTTTATGTGTATAAATGTGTATAAATGTATCTAAATGTTGGGATAAAAGTCTGAAATATTAAATACTCATAGACTCCAGATTCATTTATTTAAATATTTAAAATAAAACAATAAATCAGAGAACATAAATAGTATAAACTCATGCTCTGAATGTTTTCAGCCATGTTAATGCATCTGTGATATATTCTAATATAAGTGTGATTCTGGACACTGAATTACATATATTTTAATTGTTTTGTCTCATTAAAGTAGCATTTATCAGCTGTTTGTAAATTATGAATGTAAATAAAAAGTCCCATGTTTAGGGAAATGCACCCAGAATGTAGGGAAGGTATTAAAGATGCTTGGGATACCTCAAGGATCCTAATTAGGACCTCTTCCATTTTGAAAGGTCATCCTTGTTTTCCACAGCTTTTACATCACCCACAGCAATCAGTAGCTGTGCCAGATAATATGTTACCATGACAACAATCTGACCATGCTGCATTGGTGGCAACACCTTGAAAACCTGCAGTGCCAGTGATGCGTCAGACACCATAAAGATCAAACTTCCCAGGAGCGTCGTCATGTGGTGGGTTTTTGCTGCCAACGCAGCCATAACAGTGATCAGGACAGTGTAGACCCCCACACCTGGAGTCAATAGATCAGACTCTGGTGCCTTCTGGAGGAATGGGTACAGGTAGACATAGAAAGCTCCTCCGATCATTAGCAGGATCAGATAGAAGAGGCGGATCCAGGAGGACGAGGAGAAGGTAGCATAACGACTGGATAGGAAGGAGAGTGAGTACAGCAGGTGAGCCACAGCGAAGGCTCCCATCCCTGAAACAGAATATTGAGCAAAAAGCAATAGTAAATTTTAAAGCTTTCCACCTATATTTCATAATTATCTCATAAGTACAATAATGGATTTAGCATGTATCTAGTTGTTACCATGAATGAACATCTCAGGCCAGATCAAGCAGCAGTCCCCAACAGCAGAGAAGATCAGTCCTCCAGCTACGCCTAAGATGCTCTGACCTCCGTTCCAGCTCAGCACCACCACAGCCAGCAGCAGCGTCGGAGCTGATTTGACTCCTGCAGCCACGACTGATGGGGCAGAATCAGGAGTAAGAAGGTAGAAATACAGAGCTGAGGACAAAAAGAAAGGCAGGAGCGAGAAAAGAAGAGCACAGGACTGGTGGAAATAGATGGTAAAAGAAGAAGACTTGTCACAGTTTTTTACTAAATACTCAGCTTGATTGTAGATTAAAAAAAACCTCATAAGCACTAATATGATTTGACAAGAAAATTATTAACTAGGAGTAAACCATACCATGTTTCTCCTCTTTCTCCTGTCATAAGCATCCGTTTCAAGGATATCCATCTTCCTCTCAGCTTACTCAGAGCTCCTGCAGGTGCCTTGGTTAGTTTTAAATGTTCCTGTTCTTGTTTCTTTGCCTTCACCGCCTTGATTTCACACACATGTGGTCCTCAGGCTTGTAGTCTGCTGGATCTCCACCACACTGAACTTTAGACTAATCTCCGCTGCCTGATTGCGCTCTGATAATCAATGTCCTCCAAGATTCACGTTCTCATGCACGAACCATGGCTGACCTTTGACCTCTCCACCGCTAATAGGTTGATGACAGCACATCAGGTTCAAAGTCAAATGGGTGCATATGGTACAAGCTGGTTTGGACTTGACTCATGAACTTCATAGCTGCTGTATATTTTATGAATGGCATGATTAGAGTTGTAATTAAGGTGGAGTGGGTTAAATGTTCCGAACATTATTAGATTTTTAAGCCTTTAATGTTCACACAAGAAAACAAGGGGGAAAATATGAATTTGGCATTTTTGGTGATTTGCTGAAAACAAGGTTGTGATCCAACGAAGGCAACCGTGGTGTAAAACAAGAATCATGTTAATTATCCCCGTATTTTTCTGGGACTCAGACCAGGCACTATTGTTTAAAGAGGTAATATTAGTGACATATACAACACATATGACTTTTATTAGGGGTGTGTGAAAAAAACAATAAACCAAATCTAATTCCTTAAATGATAACACAACATTCTTCAAAATAATATGACCAAGTCCGCTCATATAAAAGAGACATTCACAAATTCAGCTAAAAGCTCTGTTAAAGCCTAGAACAGTGATGCTGTCGATGGATTGGAAGCTCATTTTCTTTCGTCTTCTTACACTGTCCAAGTAATAATTAACTGGCCTCTCTGAGTCAAACTTTGCCCTCTGCTTTCCCATAATTCCTAGAGCGGTGGTTGTTTGCTTCACGGTGGGAGACGTAAATCCAGAGGATTGTACGACAGAAGGCAATAAAAACGGTAACTGCTAAGGCGAGATAATAGAGATCTAAAGCAGCCGGGTGCATGTGTTTTGTTCCGGTTCGTGTTTCTTTCCTTCCAACAGAATATGGCGTCCAGTTCTCCCACTCTGACGATTGGAGTTGTAGGATTTGGGCATTTAGGTCTGAACCCATCTAAACCCCAAACACACACTCTTTGATTAATTGACTATTAACATGTGGATGGATGTGTGATTCAGGACAGTACCTGGTGGACAGGCTCCTTAAAGATGGACCCAGCCTCGGTCTGACTCTGGGTTTTGTCTGGAACAGGAATTCTGACAAACTCAAGGGTCTGGTTTCACCCGAGCTCGTTCTGGATGACCTCTCATCTTTTGCTAACAGGTTAAAGCCACATTTACAGTTAGGGAGTTTTGAATCCATTTTTAATGGTTTATAGCATTCGTAAAGGCACAGTGGGCTATAATAAAATGTTTTCCTGTGATTTACAGGCAGTGTGATGTGATTGTAGAAGTTTGCCATCCTCAGATTGTGATTGAATATGGAGTCCGTTTTCTGTCCAAGAGTCACTTCATGGTGAGATCATCCTACTGCAATTGTTCTGATGGCTTTTATTTTATATATCATTGATGATACACGAGCCAGTAATGGATCTTTGGAGAATATCTGGGTCAATAGAAATGTAAAAAAGCTAAGAGCTTCAACAAAACATAATGGAGACATGCAGCTTTTTCTGCATCAGCATTAGGAAAAATTCTCATTAAAAATATGTAAATAATCATTATTATCTGGAGTTTGTAGTTCTCTACAACAAGCATGTCTGAAAGTTGTCAAAAGTACAGAATAGAGTCCTTCAAATGTGACAAAACTCCATACTTGGGCATGCATTATGTAGGAAACAGGCAATTCTAACAAAAAAAAATCAACACATCTGGGCTGCATGGTGGTGCAGTGGTTAGCACTGCTGCCTCGCAGCACGAAGGTTGCAGGTTCGAAACTTGGCTGCGGCCTTTCCGCGTGGAGTTGCGTGTTCTCCCCATGCATGCGTGGGTTTCCTCCAGGTACTCCGATTTCCCCCACAGATCACAACATGCCCTATAGGTTATAAATTGTAAGTCGCTTTGGATAAAAGCGTCTGCTAAGTGAATAAACATAAACATAAAAGTGCCTTTATGTAGAAAGAGGAGAAAAGGAATGAGGAAGTTTAGGGAAAGAAAAAGATGTTCATAGTCAAGGTTAGAAAACGTCGTCCGACACTTGAAGTTTGCCAAGGGGGTCAAATTGGTAAGCTGCTGGGAAATTTTTATAATGAAAACACGAGAAAATATGAATTTATTTTGTTTGGATTATAAGCATTAAGAAAAAGTTTAACGTGGCACAAGAACTTCAACTAAGAGGCACGGTGGTGGTTGCGTCATGGTTTGGAGAGGTGTTCTCTCTGCAAGAAGTGGCTCCTTGTAACTTGGAAGAATACAAACCTGATTGTTTTATCCCATAATAGGATAAAGGAGTTTTAGCCTCTTTCCTGTCCAGATGTTTCATATTATGTGGATGAGATTTCCTCGGCAGGGACATGTGATAACAGAAGCTGGGCTGACGATGTACACTCAGTTTTAGTTGATCTATAGCAAGATTTTCAACACGATAGAGGAAAAGGCAGATGTTTTGCACATCTTTAGGAAACTCCTGGGGCTCAGTGCATCTAAAAACATTTTTTTATTTTATTTATTTATGTTTTTTTTTTTACAAAAACCACAAGATTGCCATTACCCATGTAAGAGCCACCGTTTCTATCTAAAACATTAATAATGTCCCTTTAGGTGGGATCTCCCTCCGCCCTTTCTGATGCTGATCTGAACCAAAATCTGCGTCAAGCGTCTGAACAACATGGCAGGACGCTTTATGTCCCCAGTGGTGCATTATGGGGAGGCCAGGACATCCAGAGGCTGAACGATAGCGGGACTTTGAAGGTATCATAAAGGGAAATTATCCTTTCCTTCTCTGCACCAAGTGCAAATTAATAAAAAGAATTAACGAATATTTAAAATATAATTTTATAGAATGTTAAATAATTGAGAAATAAAGAGAAATTATGATTCTTCTCAGGCTCTGTTCATAAGAATGTCTAAACATCCGTCCTGCTTCCGACTGAAAGGAGACATCCCCGCCGACTTGAAGGAAGGAAGGAGAGTTTTATTCCGAGGCTCGGTGGCAGAGCTGTGCCCACTCGCTCCCAACAACGTGAACACCATGGCGGCAGCAGCAGTGGCAGCGGGAATGCTGGGATTCACTGGTGTTCAGGGAGAAATCGTATCAGACACAGAGTGAGTCTTTCATTCATCACAAATCAGACCCACTACAGCTGCTTTTGCCCTGAACGATTGGGTTTCGTGTTTCTCTGTACGTCAGGTTACAAGACCATCATGTGGTGGAGGTGGAGGTGACTGGGTCTGATGGTTTCTCGGTACGGACAGTCAGGAGGAATCCAGCCAAACTCGGAGCGGTCACTGGGAAGGCTACATACCAGTCATTCTGGAGCAGTTTACTCAGTGAGTCTGGAGTTATTTCTCAACACGTCTAACAGAGCAACGTGGGACAAAAACACATAGATTTAAATAATTTTGACTTTTTGAATAATTGTGATAAGTTTGTCAATAAGAAAGACTCTAATTTGAATTTCTTGTTCCTTAAAGTTTGCAAAGGCCACGGAGGCAGAGTTTACCTGTGCTGAGGAGGATGATGAACATGGGAGGAAGATCCCTTTTCCAAATCCCGTATAAATTACAAGGATCATGCTGGATATGTAGGGTGGTACGGAGCTTCTACGAACCCCCTGACCTCAGCGTATGGGCTTCAATAAACTGAATAAGCAGAGCCAGGCGTCGCTTGTAAAACACTAACAGGTGTATTCGTATATTTTAGCTTTTATTAGAAGTTCATCTGATACAGCATTGGAACAAACAACTCTTACAGTGGGGTGACAGCAATTCACCTGGTAAAACCAGTTAGTCTATTCCAACACAACTCATTCATGACGAACCCTAACTCGCTTCTAAATCTCTTCCATCTTCTGTTGGAAAATTCAACCAACATCATAAATCTCTGTTCTGTTATTCCATTTTTTCCCTCACACTCATCTTTCCATCTTCCACTAATAAATACTTCCTGAAAATGGGAAAATGGAGGATAAGCCAAACAAGCGTGCAAATCGACAGGTGAAAGGTGTTTCAAGTTGCTCAGCGTCGAAGAAACTGATACAATAAGGCAAAGAAATGAAATGGAAAACACACAACTTCAAAGTAAAAGCTTTTAACAAGACTTTTTGAGCTGCTCCTTAATGTGCATGCGCGTCACCCGCATTTCATTTCCATTCTAGGGCGTTTTGAAGTAAACGAGGCATTTGAGACAAAGCCACGAGGTTTTTTCTGAGAACATGTGATGTAGGTAAAATGAAGGAAAGGTTTTCCCTGCTTGGACTAATGTCTGAATCACGTACAAAACCTTTCTCTGCTGTTTTCTCTCAACATTTTAGACATAAATTATTCAGTATTGGTACACTAACAAAACCAGCAACACAACACTGAGCTGTCCTAGTTCTCTGCACTGTGCCTTTTTCTGCTGGTGTAGAAATGAAACGATACCAAAACTGATCAAACTGGCTGATGGTTTTAGAGGTTCTGAGGTACAAACTGGGCAGGAAGACGCTGACAGTGATGCAATTTCCTTTCCCCACAAAAAGCCACAGCTAAATTCATCACACACACTTAAACACTACCACAGCTGCACTCATTTATAACGTTTGTAATGCGAGGATGACTAACGATGGCAACAAACAATGTTTCACTAGTGTGGTTCAGCATGTATCCTACATGTACGCTCCTCAGTTTTTCTCGCTGGTCACTTCGTCACCATCTCCGTTCTCATCTCCGTTCACATCTCCCTCTCCATCTCCGTTGGCTCCCAGGACAGCTGACACTTTGTTTTTCACTGGCATCGTGTAGGGCTGGCGGATGTTCACTCGATCCTTTTCGGCCTCCAGTTCCTCGTCGTAACGCTCGTCCTCCTCGTTGTCTTCGGCCTCACTGTGGTGCGGGGAGGAGTGACGGGACAGGGCTGGAGATGGCGGCACAGAGGCAGGTCGGGGGTAACGGAAACCTGCAGTCTGACAACGACATGCAAGATCTCAAATGGAGGCGGAAAATGTGCAACTTTGGTAAAACCATAGGGGCTCAAGCTAAGAAAAACCGTTTTAATGTACAAATGGTGTAAGAAGTCGTTTCAAGAGTCTTGATAAGGATCGCCATGGTAACCACACACCCCTGTGTATCTAAACTCAGACTAAAACAGGCAGTCAGAAACACAAAGTAAGCCTCAAACAACTATAAAGTATTTTTTTTTTAATCTTTGACAAACAACAAAAATACACTTTTATGCTTCTAGCGTCTGTCGGATATGACATGAAAACTCGAGAATGGCCGTGTGAACTCAGGGCTTTCTGATGGTTTGACACAAAACATCCTACAGCAGGGAGGGACAGCCTGAGTGAAAGAGGACAAAATACCTACAGTTTTGTATATTTCCTGTATAAAAGCTATCGAGTTGAATAAAAACGAGAATTTCAGCAGGTTTTGATGAGCCAAAACTTAATGTTCACAACTTCATCACACTCAAAGAAATCTCCAAAAATCAGAACATTTAAAGTGACCGTGTGTATTTTTCCTGGCGATAGGGAGGCAGTAGATGCCTAAATCGTTGCAAGCAAGCAATATTTTTGTGTTGGAGTAAGACCTTATCAATGGAGGCCCATAAGGGTCAAAAAGCCCTGGGGAGTGCAAACTTCAGCTAAATAACGAGAACAGCAGACTCCCTTTCATCACTGGCAGCAAACGCAAGTACATGTGTAAAACAACAACCTTTAACTCATTCGCTGCCAGCCGTTTCCTGATCGGTAAAGCCCTTCGCTGCCAGCGTTTCTTGCAGTTTTTACTGTTTTTTTAAAAGTCACAGAACGTTGCGCGCTAGGATGATGTCGCTAGGATGATGATGTCGACGCCAAAACAACCAAAACAAAGCGGAGACTCACCTCTTACATCAGGAAGAATCTGTGCGTTTCGAGCGTTACCCGTTCTTTCATAATCCGTTGTTGAATTGTGATCGGCAGAAGCTTTTCCAGTTCGCGCCTCACTTTTTTTTACAGCAGCGGCCCAAAACGATCTCCTAGCACATGGATTTTCAACTTCCTGATCACGTGACGTGTGACGTGTGCAGATGAAGATCGGCTTTAGAGCTGAGGTGTTTGTTCTCACAGTGCGGGGGCTCGTTCCGATGCCCACACAATAAATTGGCAGTGAATGAGTTAAGAATGGCGAAAGTTTGTAACAGTTTGTTACAAATAAGTAAATGCGTTTTGTGCTCATGGGCTCCAGTAAAAGGAAACATGGCCTCTAATACGGTGTCGCCCGGAGACTTAGACCCGCTCCCGTGTAGCGTAGATGGGATTTTTATGGTTATATGCTACGAAGTCGCCAATATTTTTAAAAAACCAGGCTTCATTTCATTTACTTTAAACAACATTTTGATAGATATTTCCAGAAATTAATGGTAAAAACTACACATTGTCTCTTTAAAACTGGGAATGTGCAAAATCCATTTAAGGAATTGAAATACAAGTAAGGACACATTTAAATCAATGGGTAATAAGTTAAAAGGCTGCTCCATTTGAGGTTGAGTAACTCACCGAGGCGGTCTCTTCGGGCTCATATATGAAGGTGTCAGGGAAGGCTTTAGCCAGGGCCATGTGACGAGCAGCTATGTAAAACTAAAAAACAGAGAAAGACCCTTCAAATAGACGTTTCTGCATCGATTAAAGATCATGTCTGGGATTGGTAATCTTACCCTGCCAAGGTATCTCCAATCCAGGAGGTCACTGAGGCGCTCCGTGCGATTTCTCTGGATGATCCGCTGGCGCCGGCTCTGCTTGCAGAACTGGAACAGGAAGGAGGTGAGCTGGTTGCATGACTCATCAACCCCCTTGTAACGGCGATCAAGGATGTAAATACCTAACAAGAGAAAGGGCATTTTAATTCCCCAGAGAAAACATCATAGCCCGGTAAGCCATCCGATGTGTGTAAACATGCCACGACCCATAAAGACTGCTCAGTCTTGGGGCGGAATCTACGGCTGTCTTTCAAAACCGTCTCTGCACACAATTGGACAGCACTAGGACCAATCAGCGCAACGAACATGATGCATTCATCGATTCATGAATCAGTCAATGGGTCAGTCCGCCATGCACCGAAGGAGAAAGAAGAAAAATAATTTCTCTAAATGAATGACTTAAGTATTGATCTGCTCATGACTCAAAAGAAGCTCAAGTCTAACTCGTCCAAAGTCATTTCAAACGAGTGCTGTTCCTGAGCTGATGCCATCTTTGTAGATTTTCTCCATCGCAGCTCGAGAAGGGAGTCGCTGCAGACCCAGACTGCAGATTCAGACCGACTTTACATTCAGGCTTTGGTTTTTGAGACAGCGCTGCCCACTGTTTGACAGCAATTGATCCCAATAGAAAATGAATGTCTGGCAGCTCCTCCAGCACTTGCAGAAGATTTAAAATCCTGACTGCTGCAAAAATGAAGAATGTGCCGACATATCCGTCCTCCACCACTGTGTTTTTGTCCATCAAGGTGTTACAAAGTTGTTAATCTAAAGATGGGCTTTACTAAAGTATTGTGTGAGTGTGTGTAAAGTAACACGAAAAACATATTTCAGTTAGATAGAACAAGACTGGTCAATTATTTATTATTTTGATTTAATGAGGTTAATGCTTCACCAGCAATAAATCATTTTATGTTGGTTTAATACAATTGGACTTCTAATAATTTTTTTTACTAATAACATGACCTAAAGGCATGTTTTGAGTCTACAATTGCAGTTAAAGTGACAGTGTGTAGTTTCCCTGGCGATAGAGGGCAGTACATACCTAAATCACTGCAAGCAAGCATTATTTTTGTGTTCAAATAAGACCTTACCAACAGATGGCCATTAGGGTGAAAAATCCCCGGGAGTGCAACCTCCAGCAAAATAACAAGAACATCAGATTCCCTTTCATCACTGGCAACGAGTGAAGAGGTAAATGTGTAAAGCAACAATGCTTATTAACGCTGAAAGATTTTGTAACCATTTGTTACAAATCAGTAAATGTATTTTGCCCTCACAGACTTCCGTAGAATGAAACATGGCATTCAATATGGCGTCAGTCAGAGACTTAGGGTGTTTCTCAGTATCAAGGCGTCTGGCCTTGCGGGGCGATATCTTGGGAGGCCAGGCGCCTTGCTTACGAGGACACTGTTCTTCCTTGGTAAAAGAAAACGGTTAAATGGAACAGACTTGCATCACGTGACCGCGGCTTCTACGGCGGTCACGTAACGTCACATGACACGGAAGATAACTATATTTTATACGTATACGTTTCAATATGAATATATAACGAGCCTTTTACTTTTTAAATTGCGTATATGTTTGTTAAATTAAATATATAAGTGAGTTACTACCCGCTAGCCACCGAAGCTGCAACTACTAAGCAACTAACCAACCTTAGATAACTTCTTTGGATCTAAAAGAACATTTTAAAGTAGTTGACTTACTTTTAAACTTGAAATTTACCCCCCGAAGTAGCTGCTGGCTTCTGATCCACCGTCCTTTTGAAAATACAGCGGGGTACTCTGGGAAATTTTTGACCAAGGCTAGGCTACAAGACACCTCCCGTGTATCCTTGCTCAGCTAGCTAAACGGCTAACAAACGGAGAACACACGCCTCGGTAGAACATGAACATTGGAACACGCCTTGGCGGTTCCTGGTGACGTATCCCCTAGGCAACCGGGGTGGGGCCAAGACATCAAGGTGAGATTCCTTGCCATTGAGAAACACCCTTAGACCCGCTCCATGTATTTTAGACCTGATTTTTATGGTAATATGTTAAAAAAACTGCCAATATTTTTCAATAACTGGGCATCTTTTAAGTCATTTACTACAATATTTCTATGGATATTTCCACAGATTAATGGTAAAAACTACACATTGTCACTTTAAACACTAATCCTTTAGAGGGAGCCGTCTCAAAAACAACAGAAGCCTGAATCTGCAGTCGGCCTTATTCTGCGGTGTCCGGGTCTGCAGCCATACACTATTGCGCAGCTCTGGTGCTACGCCCACCCAAACAGAGAGCTGTGATTGGTCCATCCTAAAATTGTTCAGGCCAATGGTAGACCAGCTGAGACTACAATAGAGCGTGGCTTGACCGACCTGCATAACTACATATTTTTCTAGTGCTACAGCCTGTCTATAGATTTCTAGGCTAAAATGGTTTTTAAAACTTGAGAAGTGAATAAAGATACACACCATATGCCGAAGGGTCTGCTATGTGTTCCTCCATGAAACATCCAAAACCTGAGAGGTTGGTGGAGATTGAAGGAATTCCCATGACTGTGCACTCAGCTGGTGGCGACACAAACATGGAGGATTATTCACATGATAAACCCATGTGTGCTTCAGTGCTCATGATTACTACCTGGTGTGTAGCCCCAAGGCTCATAGTAAGAAGGAAAGACGCCAAGGTGGCAACCTCGGACAAACTCCTCATAATCCATGGGAAGCAGAGGAGAGGTAGATGAAAGGAACTCTGGATGGAAGATAATCTGAGGAAGGAGAAGCGAGGCTGTAATCCAGCAAGACGTAAAACATAACATTGTACTGAAAAAGAAATCCTGCAGGCTTTATGCAAACGTCCCCAACAAGCGCCACGTTTATTTTTGCTCCCGTCAGATGTGGTACCTTGACTCGGTCAGAGGAGCTGTTGAAAAGGCCGATGCGGCGGACACAGCTGAGGATGGGGTCGCTGCTGTCCTCCAGCATGTTGTGGGTACAAACTGGAGGCTGGGACTGCCTCTGAGTCGCAAAGATGGCACGCTTCATTATGGTGAAGTCCTCTTTGTCCAGCATCTTGGAGACATCTGGCAACTGCCCACTAAAGAACAAACATTTTAAACCTAAATCAAGAGCTTTGGTTTCCTGGTCTCAGCTTGTATTTTAGTCATTCTGCCAAAAGACAGAGAACACATTGAAGAGAATTTCAACATTTCAGGTTAAGAAAATACCTCAAAAGGGCACCATCTTTGCATTTCTAGAGCTAAAAGATAAAAAAATAAGTCTTTTTTGATCTTTACGTGGACAACTCACACTAGAAGTGACTCATAAAGCTTCTTTCCAAAGCGTTCCTTCACAGTCTGAGCTGTATCCCTGTCACAGACAGCAAAACACACACAAGTGGGCTGTCAGCCTATGAAAGAACATCCTCAGTTTAGAAACATCTGGATTCACAGCATCCTCACCAGAGCTGCTTTCGGACAGCTTGGCCCTTCAAGGTCTCCACGTTGAAGTTGTTTGTGCGAGCTGGCATGATGAAGAACGCTATAACAGTCACGTCGCTGTGGTTGACCTGTGCAACACAAATACCTGTTGGAGCATCAAACTACACCTGAGCACTCGGTGAAACCACGTCACACACACACACACTTACTCTCAGGAGATAGTTGAGTCTGGCTAAAGCCTCCAAGAAGACGTCGGCTCCTTTGTTGGAGAACTCGTACCTCCCAGCTATGAAGAGGAACAAACACTTGTCCAAGTTGAAGTCGAGGTGCCTGATGGCGAAGACAAGCTGCAGTGAGCCAAACGCCTCCACTGAACACATGACACCACGCTTCTTTTAAGACCGGGTTAATGTGAGTTCTGACCCATAGAAGTGTCCCCTGACAAACTCCTGGATGCGGCTCTTGCTCTGGGCGTGGAGGTTTTGAAACTCGTGCATAGCAGAGAACTTCTTCACATTGAGTCCATTGGGAGTGATGATGTCTGTAAATTTAATATAGCTCATCAAATCATGACATAAAAAACCGTTTTGGTGAAGTAATAAGTTGGCTGAGGAAAAAAACCTCTTGAATTATAATTAGGCTAAAAACATAAAACCATGTGCTGCCGGCCAAAGTGACAACATTATCTAAGGTTGTGACCAAATTCAGGGATTGCTTCCCTCCGAGGCCGACTATAAAGGCTGATCATGTCATAGTGATGAAACGAAGGTCGCCTAAATTCGAAAATCCACTAATCTGTGTTTATTTTCCCCAGAATTGAAGGTCAGGTATGTAGTCTCTTTCGTGGCCCATCCAAGCCCAAGAGTCATTGTCAGCCAAACCAGTTTTTCTTCTTGTAACAAAGGCAGACGAAGCGGGGGAGGATTACAGATTTAAATGTTAGTATTTTAATATCTGGCAACACAAAAGTTAAAACCTTCAGTCTTGATAGGCTTTTGTTGTTTTAGAATTGTCAAAAATAATAATAAAAATCTTTGTAAACAAAGTTGTACGATGGGGCCTGCTGCAGTTCTTCATGTACTGTCGCCAAGTTTAGTTTAATTTTTTGTTTAGCACAGTCAGGCGAAAGGATGACACTGAGGTAAGGGTGGTAATAAATCTGAAGGCCGCCGGCGCCAGCTGGCTGGCAGCGCTGCTCAGCAGTAGCCGGGATCTGCGCGGTACGCTGAAGATTCACTGGTGTATGATGCAAGTGTGGCAAGGTGGAGAAACGAGGGATTTGACCCCCAGACTCCCGGGTGAGAGTCACGAGCGCTAACCAGTCAGCCTAAGGGACATCCCTGTGACCAAGTAGCCAGGAAGCATGAATAATCTGGATACGGTGACGCTCACCCTGTCACACAAGGATACAAGGACCTCAGGTAGAGACAAGAAAGAATAAATGACTGAGCTCTCACGATTCAGAAAACTCCCGATGTTGCCTCCTGTTTGATACGTATTGTGGTCAGACGTTCTTTTTCTTCCTCTTTTTCTATTCTTTAAGAAAAAAGGTTTTCTTTGTCTGTTCTGAGGCTCTGCTACGATGAATACGTTACAGTAAATGCTAACCAGGTGAAGCTCGTCTGTTCTGAGGTGAAAACATGGATTGCTGTAAAGCGTTACTCTTTCACACGAGACACATGACTTTGAGAGACGTAAGGGTGGCGGTCCAGAGAGGCTCAAGTGTGGTATTCTGGCTACAAGGGGCAGAGCGACTTTCATTAACCCTGTAATTGTGTCATTTTAGCACCAACAGGCTCAAGAAAATAATTTAAAAACATAAAAAATGTACTTCCTTTAAATGAAAAGTATGAAGAAGCAATGGCCAGCTACAGGCTAAACTCTCCCACGGTTACCACATTTGGTGTGCCACCCCAAACCTTTCACTGGCCCCAATACATGTTTAATAATCTACAGTAAACTACCCAGATTATGATGTATGAGTGTGAAAAGAAAAGGAGTCACCATGGTAACCACCTGCAGCTTATTAAAGACCAAGTCATCCCCATCAGTTTTACTCCACTCAGGGTATCTGCAGGTTTAAGGGAGCCAAATTTAAGACTTTTTAAGACCTTTTTTAAGGCCACTTTGACCAAATTTAAGATATTTAAGCAGGGCAGCAGTAGCTCAACAGGTTGAGCGGGTTGTCCAGTAATCGGAAGGTTGCAGGTTCGATCCCGGCTCCGGACACTTAACCCACCTTGCCTGCTGGTGGTGGTCGGAGGGACCGGTGTTCTCGGCAGCCTCGCCTCTGTCAGTGCGCCCCAGGGCAGCTGTGGCAACATCATGGCTCATCCCCACCATTGTGTGGATGTGTGTGAATGGATGAATGATACACTGTAGTGTAAAGCGCTTTGGAGTCCTGACACTGAGAGGCGCTATACAAGTGCGGGTCATTTATCATTTAAGCTATAATTTCCAGCTGTTGCCTGGAACCGGTGCTAACCAAGCCACGATCGTGGGATTAGCCATCCAGTTACCATTAAACTTGCACTTCCCCATGGCGCAAGCGCCCACTAGCTTAACCAGCTAACGTGCTCATCTAAAAATAGCTCCCTTTCACAACCAACTGAATGTGTACGGTTCCGCTTATGCCAACAACGTACACAAAAAACGCTGAACACCAACTAGAAATTCACGAAAATTTTATAGAAATAAAAGAATCTTGTTTGTTGGGTCTTTTAAGACCTCTGGAAACTGTATTTAAGGATTATTTGTAATTTTTAAGGATTTTTAAGGCCTTAAATTTGGAAAAGCTAATTTAAGGCTTTTTAAGACTTTTTAAGGACCCGCAGATACCCTGTCCACTCCCACTTCCTTGAAAAATGCAACAAATGCCGTTGCCTGGTAAACCAAGAGGGCGGAGCCGCAAACGCACGCACGCACACGCCATCAACAACATTGTGACATCATGATGTACCAACTAATGTCATGTACCTCTTAAAGGTCACTTTGGCAAAGACACACCTTGTGTAGACTAAAAAAGTAAGCCCCAGAATACCAAGTGTGGTGATGGTTGGGAGAACAGAATAGTACCTGGTTTCCTCTTGAGCAGGTGCTCCGCCTCAATAGCTGTAATCTGTGACACTGTGGTGAAAACGTGAGTGCAGTGAGCAGCCGCCCGTTCCAAACAGTACCGATGGTAGATCTGTCGATCACCAGCTTCCTTGTCCACGTTGAACTGAGTGAGATATAACACGCAGAGTAAAATGTCAATATCACAAATATTTTTAAATTCACCATCGGAATAAAAAAGGCCAATAACTGGAGATTCGGGGTTTAATTTCTGGAATTAGCAACCATTCACACCTGAGCAAGGTTGTTGTAAAAGTCCACGCTTCCAGCACAAAGGTAGCGTCCCAGCAGCGTAGCATGAGTGGTGAATATAGTAGCAATGGGGAGCTGTCTCTGTCGACACAGTACCAGGCCGAGTCCAGCCAGCCACTCGTGGAAATGGGCCACGATGTGTGGAGACTCTTCGCTCTGAGCTGCGTACTAGAAATAACAGCATTTGTATTAAAAATGTTAGTAGAGCACAAACCAACATTTCTGCACAGAAAGATAGAAAGGCAGTTTTAATCAAAAACATACAAAACAGACGAATAAGCTACACAGTCAAACCTGATGCAAGTAACTGGTTATTTTCCATAATAAATGACGACTAAGAGCGAGAAGATCTTTGATAAACACGCTGACATCATCCAGCTAACCTCTCCCAGAAGCCACGCAGTCAGGAAGCCAAACAGCACAGCATCGTTGGCCTCACGGTCGAACCACGGCACGCCGATGCCACAGTGCTCCCACAGCTCCCTCTTCCAGCGGTCCAGAGACCAGGCGGTGAAGCCGACGTCGATCAGAACCACATAAGGACTCCCTTCAATGAGCCAGCGGCCAAAGTAAATCTATGAAGTTGTAGCGAGACAAGATGAGTTTTAAAAATGTTGCTTAACTAAACTAAATCATATTTAAAATTTAAGATTATTTTCTGTGAAAGGGAATATACGGGCAAGTTCTAACTGCAAGTATTGTTTTGCATTTTGTTTATTATTGTGTTTTCAAATTGCATCAGAACAGTTTAACTACATAGGCCCACACAGAGACTATAGAAGCCTACGTTTGTATCCGGGTAGTTTTACAAGTGTTCTTTTTTCCTGTATGCCTTTTGGTTTTTGCTGGCTGAAAAACAAAAAGTTCCCCTAGGGAAAAAAAAGTTTAAAGTGAATATTGCCTTTTAACAAACATAATCAAAGCACAAAATCTCAACTATTTTAAATTCATAATCACATTTTTGACAAGGAGGTTATACATTTTATGGAAGAGGATGAGGGCCAAAGGAAAAAGAAAGATAATTCAGACTTTTTTCTGGAATCAAATTCCGACTTTAGTCTCATAAATCCAACTTAAATCTCAGAATTCCGACTTAAATCTCAGAATTCCGACTTGTCTCAGGATTATTATAGTTAGAACTCCGAGATTAAAGTCAGATTTCTGAGAAAAAAATCAGTATTCCGTGAAAAAAAGTCAGCATTCCAGGAAAAAAAGAGATTTCTGAGAGAAAAGTCAGCATTCCAAGGGAAAAAAGTCAGCATTCCAAGGAAAAAAGTCAGCATTCCGAGGGGAAAAAGTAAGCATTCCGAGGAAAAAAAGTCAGCATTCCTAGGAAAAAAGTAATCATTCCAAGGAAAAAAGTCAGCATTCCAGGAAAAATGTCAGATTTCTGAGAGAAAAATCAAAATTCTGAGAAAAAAGTCCGAATTGCGATAAAAAAAAGTCAGAATTCTGGGAGAAAAAACTCAGAATTCCGAGAAATAAGTCAGAATTCTGAGAATTAAGTCAGAATTCCGAGAAATAATTCCGAGAATCGGCCCTAATCCTGCTGTAAAATTTGACTAGATCAAACTAAAACAAAACGGAAATAAGAAAGAGTGTCTGAGTCTTGGCAATAGCCTCTTCTATGACACAAGATGCACGGTTCCTTTAAATGCAGCACCACTTCCAGCCTTGACACATAAAACCACAGCGATCCTCCAGTGACACAGCACAAAACCCCACATGTATCAAGCCCACTCGTCTATTTCTGGACAGAGTCTGTGTGAGACAGCTCAAAACACGGAGACACCGATGCAACCTCTAACCTTTGTGTGGAACTTCTCCATCCACATGATCACTGATCTCACCCTATTTATTCTAGTGTTAAGCAGCCAGAACGACCGCCCTTTAGAGGAGAATGTGTGTGTTTACGGTTTATATACCTTACACCCACTGGCGTTCATTTGGTCAATGGTGCGTTTTAGCACCGGGTTGGTGGGTTCGATCAGCTCCACCTGAGTGCGCACGTTGCTCTCCACATAGGGCCCCACGAGGAAATAGTTCTCCCCCCATTCCTCCGCGGTCAGACGGGCTTTGGTCTGGATGACGGTGTAGATACCTCCAACTTCAAACAAGAACACAAAGTCCAAGCAGATGGAAATACATTTTTCCCAAAGTAAGGATTTTTGAAAATTTTAAGCAAATACAACAATTATAATATTTGCCTTTATTTGCGACCTCCCAAGCTATTTCGAAAAGAACAGCATCCTCCAAATCAAACTCTTCGTCCCACTCTTCAAGTCCTGACAGGGACGTGACGGACAGGCTGCGGGCCAACGGCATGCTGGGTAAAAATAGAACATACCCTGCTAAGAAGGGACACACACCTTACATCTATGTATAAACCGACTGAAATATCCCATCGCAACATTTTAAAAAAATAGCACATTGCTTTATTTTTTCATAGTTATTTCCAAATAAACTCAAATCAAATCTTTTTTTAACCACAATTCAGACCTAAAGCCAAACATTTGAATGAGCACTGCCAGGATAACCTGAAACGCAACTTCCTCTTGAGCAACTATACTAAGTATTAGACTATTTCACTGTGATGTGAAGCCAGAGGTTTTCTGAATTATTTTATCTTTCTCTAATTATTTGTAGATTAAACAATAGTTTCATGCGTGTAAACTTTATGAAGAGATTTGTCAGCATTTACTTTCAGAAACACAAATGATACCAGTTAAGATTTGGACATAAATCCTAATATTTATTCCTAATAATGACTATTTTTAGGAGTCCATCTCATCCTAACCACTACAATAAAGAGCTTTCTGAAAATTATTCTAATCTTATATTATTAGCAGTTTGCCACTGCCAATCTCAAGAACAGATGTAACATTTAAAACGCATACGTTTTTTCTCAGTTCCTGCTTGTAGAAATGATGAAACCTAATAAACAAATGAAGGGATGGTGAGAGACAGGATGCCACTTCAACTGCTTCAAGTTCAGACTTGATTCAGCACCTTTCATTCATCCATGAGGTGATGTTGTGTGATATTTGGTAATCACATGAATTTGAGGTGCATGGAAAACTAAAAAGTTGCGTCAGAGTAAAATCCAATGTGATGGGGGAGGGTCCTGTCCACTTAAACTTAGGCACAGACTAGATTTTGGATCAAATAAATAAAAAAACACCCAGATAAATTAAGAGTTTTGCACACTGGTGATCTTCATTAATCTGTATGTAGTGACTGCTTTTACTTTTTAACAGATTTAATCAAAAGAGAATGAAATTAAAGATAATTCATCGAATGAATAAACCACCATCCCCCCACTTTTTCATGAACTTTTTAAGAGGACCCTCCGGCTTTCCGTACTTCAGTCCCATCCTTACGATTTATAATTTAAACATCCTGCAGAATTATGTTTTATGACCTTGCTCACACTCACGGACATTGAGCTTATTTCCACAAGGCCCTCAGTTTTTAAAACGAACAGAAGCCAACCCTGGTGACTTTAACCCGACGTGTCTGCAGAGAGACACCAAGAGCGTTTCTGAAATAATTCACAGACCTGACGATGTGAGTGAATGTTTGTGCTTCCTATCAGAGTGGAGAGGTGGACGTGCCATCAAGCACCTATTCCGAAAAGCTATCGAGAGGCCGCGTGCCCGCGCGCGCTCCCAGAGCAACCATTCAAGCGTTTTGTAACATAAAATAGACTCACCCTTCGGTTTTGTCCCAACGTCCACAAGATTAGCTAAACATTGGCAGCTGTCGCAGTCACTCCAAAAAAGATGGGAAACGGTAAAGACCGAGAGGAGAAAAGGGGGCGGCGGCTTTGGTTAAATGTCAGCGGCTCACATTGGTTTGCTGTGAGCCGCTGTGGCGCTAACGGGAACGCCCTTTACTTTACGATGCAGGTGGAGGAGTCCATGCAAAACATTATTCACGAGCTTCACAACCATTGGTCGTTTTGTCCTCCTTGGCTCTGCCTGCTGCCACAATGTGAAGGTGATTGGTTGTCTTCAGCAGCGGAGAGACGCTATTGGCTAGATAGGAATTAAAGGGACTAATAGTGGGTCAACACCTTCTGAACACCGGCGTGTGTGGAGGCGCGCTGGGTGTGCGGGATTTGTTCGTAAAACGGCGGATCTGCCATAAATCAGCTGTTGTTATTTTTATATGTCGATGTTTTTTTCCCTGTAGAACATGGCTCCAGACCTCCCCTTTTTTCAGCAGCTTCACTTACTTTTTTCTTTAACCTCCGTTGTTCTGGAAGCAGCAGGGTAACATGCTGAATTTAGTCAGTGTGTTTCGGAAGCTGTTTTTCTAAGTAGCCTTGACAGACTTCAATTCCATTCAGTTTATTTTTATAGCGCCAAATTACGACAAGAGTCGTATCAGGGCACTTCACAAAGTAAACATTCCAATGAGGTTCAGTGTATTATCAGTTAAAAGTTTCCAAATAAGGAACCCAACAGACTGCATGGACTGCCAGAGAATTACAGCAAGCAAGGAAAACTCCCTTTTAACAGGAAGAAACCTCCAGAGGATCCTGGTTCAGTAGCCCCCTATGCCATCTCCAAGACCCACTGGGTGGGGGTGGGTGGCGGGCATGTTCTTTTCTCAGGCACAGTTTTGACATAATTGTGTAGTTCTTTGGTTAACTGAACTTAATGTTTTTGTTTTTGACAAAGTCTTCAAAGGAGTTCACTTGCAAATAGTCTGTCCCTATAATATGTAAACCTGACACTCCTTAACAGCTTGAGGTGAGCCGCGTAACGACTGTAATATTTCCATTTGATTATGTACAGGTTTGTTTAAAAATGGGAAAGAATTGAACAAGTGCTGTGTCAAAATTGCACAGATCTGGATTTCTTCAAGTCTTCTGCAAGCAACCCACTTAGTGTGAAGTTGGGTGAACAGAAATTGGGGAACACAGACAGATGAACACATGGTTTATAAAAACTATTGTCTGTCCTAAATGTTCTGATATGCAGTCTCAAATGATCTAATAAAGTCACAAAATCTGCAGAAAAATCCCAAATAACACTTTGTGCATTAGCCAGTGGGTGATTTACATATATATATATATATATATATATATATATATATATATATATATATATATATATATATATATATATATATATATATATATATATATATTGTGTATATATATATATTTATATATTATTTGCTCATTTGAGCTGACAGCTGTCAAGGCCGAAATTCCACCTTGACTAGTTCTTTTTGTTGGGTGGTCCCTAAGTTTGGAGACATTTGCAATATTATCTTAGACCAATGGGTAGCTAGTATGCTCAGAATAACAACCATCATGAAAGTAAATTTAAAAAAATCAAGAACCAGAGGAAGAAATATAAACAAGAGAGCTGCACTGTCACAATGAAGGTAGTTCTTATAGAATGTCACTAGACATTAAATTGCTATATTATTTAATCTAGAAAATCTCTAAAAATATAAATCCAATTCTCCCTTTTATCTGCATGTGTGGCTTTCCAGCTAAACTCATAAATTCTACATAGATTGATGGACCAATTTGGAATTGAATACCTAATTTTATATTTTCAAAACTTAGTGGTCTTAAAAGTATTGTGTTGTGCAGCTATAATATTGATATAATCCATGTTAAACTGTCACATTTTTCTAAGTAAATGCTTCTCTCTTGGTCCCAACTTTACAAACGCAACTTCTCCCCACACAGGTAACACAAGTCTTTATGTTTAAGCAATTGGTTTGTTCGTGGCTTTTATCTTGTTATGCAACTCAGAAGGTAATTTACTCTCTTACACAGACTTCCTGAATCTATGTGGTTTTCCTGCTTCACCATATGCTGCAGTATTTGATATTCCTGCTGGTGTATTAACGGTCCTCAAAGGTTCAGTGGTCAGGGACATGGGGTAGGGGCAGGATCTGTTTTTCAAGTATAATGAAAAAAAAAACAACCGTGATAAGAGATCTTTGTTTCTGAATGATAAGACTCATATTCCAAATGCTTATTGTATACTGGAACAACTTATTTTGTGAGCTGGACTGTGAAAGGATTTGGGCTCCACCATCAAAGATTCTATTGACAGACATGTTTGTTTCAAGATTATTCACCGGTTCTATCCTACAAAATCTTTCCCTAGAAGATATAAAAAGTAAATTGTTCATTGTGTAACCTCCAAGCTCAAGCTGAAGATTTTTTTATAACTCTTTTGGTCTTGCCCATTCTCTAATGGCTCTAATGGCAACAATTTACTATTTTTTAAATATTTTCTTCAAGATTTTTCATTCACTTTTGAAAAGTTAATTGGTTTCTACAACTACCCGGTGAATAAAGCAGACCAATTTTATATAACTGATTTATTAAAATTGTTATCTAAAGTTCACATTCATAAAACAAAATTTTCTAATGTAAAACCTTATCAGGATTTTGTTTGTGAAACTAAATAATATCTGTTACAACCAATATTCCCACAATGCAAAAGCAACAAAAACGGTGAATATACTCCTCTTATTGGATTCTATGGTTAATCTTCAGCTGGTGGCTTGTGTTATCAACCACTGATAATGTGTATTTCAAAATTATTGTTCTTTTTATTTTTGTCATGTTCTAATTAGAAAAAAAAGATGGACAAATGCTTTTTTTTTCTTGAATACGCTTTATTGACAAACCACAAAATACAACTACAAAGAAATAACAAGCACAATGTCAGGGGGTTTCTATGGGAAAACAAAATAGTAAAAGATGGACACATTTTCTCTTCCTGAGAGCGGCAGGGAACTCTTTTTAAGCCGTCCTGCACTAATCCCAGTGAACTTGTTTGGACCTCTACTTTTGAATACCAAATAGGTTGCTGTTTTTGCCTATAAATTTTAAGTACTAGATTCACCTCTTAAAATCTTTTGAACGGACCCAATCTGCCATTTAAAGGAGAAGACGATGACGCGGGAAAAAGCAGAAACTTCAGCTAAGTCAGCGGTAGCCTCCAAGAGCTCCACATCCTCTGACCACGAATACGCAATGGAGACTGCAACACCGTCAGTCAAAAGAAAAACTCCACCTACGCCCACCAAAGCACCCCTACCACCTAGCAAAGGTACTGTATCCCAAACAGTACATGTATATGTCAATGATCCCAAAGCATGGAAACCAGCAGCTCCATAATAGAAGCCATTAACAAGCTAACAAACAAGATCGATGACTTCGGTGTGCAGCTAAATAACAACG